GGTACACCATCTGGACCAAGGCTGTCTTTGGGATTTATTGATTTCAAAAATAATAGTACATCCTTTTCTTTAAAACCCGGAAAATGACCATTTTCTTGACTAGGTACATCAGGTACAACCATATTAATTTGTTTCTTGATAGATGATTTGTTTAAAGCATTAACATCAGAATAAGCATCAACAGACATTTGTTTTTTTACGTGTAAGTTTATTGAAAAGTTTCCAAATGTTTGAAGGATTTTTACATGGTAAAAATATTTCATTATATAGTCTGTTCAACCTTTCTATTTCAATTTTTATAAGGGCGTTTATTTTACGGACACCAGTATTATCACAATTCTTATACAACTTCTCTTTTAGTCTTCTAAGTTTCTTCAGTTGCACAGAAGAGATTCTGTCAAATCTCGAAAACAGTGTTTCATATGGACAGCAAATTTCCAAACAAAACTTCAGATAATCGGTTATATTAGAGCCAGTAGCATCCAACTTATCGTCAGTAAATAGTTCCCAGTTGGAACCATACAACATGCTTCTTAGTGCTAGAATGTTGTCATGGTAATATGAACGTTCATGTATCTTCTTTGTTAAATGACTAAACAATTTTTGTTGTGACTTGCCGTACATTTTTGGTAAAATACGAATAATGCAGTGGTCAGAGTTTAGCAAAGGAGCTCTCCTTCGGGTTTCATATACATCACGGTCATTTATGAAAACCAGGTCTAGCGATTTGTCCAGACGTGTATTAAACTTGACTAGATTCTCATGACCAAGTGAAGTAAGAAAGCTGTGATCACATGAATTAAAATCACCACAGACTATAGACAACGAGTTTCCGAATGCAGGAGCAGCGAATTCAGTAAATTCATCTGCAAACATAACTATATTAGAAAGGCTACAATTGGGTGTTATGTAAATATTTGTTATGTATATATAAGAATATTTACTTAAGTGTTTTGGGCGACACCTGACTTTTATGCAACCTATATTGTCATTAGAATAATTGAAGCAAACGTGATTTGATGTAGACCAACTTGTGTTTATAAAAGTGGCTACCCCTCCTCCATATTTTTTCTTAGAACTTTTTCTATCTTGGCGAAAAACTTCATATCCATTTATTGAAACTAGATTATCATCATAATGCCGGGGCAGCCAAGTCTCTTGTATCGCTAAGACGCCAGCATTTCGATAAACATTAGAATACATTAGGGATTGAAGATAATCCATTTTGTTGGACAGGTATCTGCAATTAGTGCTAACGAGTTCAGGAACAGTCATTTGATTAATTTGTGTACGTTTCAGTGCACGCTGCCAGCCACAGTGATGCTTTTCACTCAATTTTTGTGGATGACACAACGCAGTAGGTTGTAATGATTTTAAAAATGCGCGATTATATATAATACGATTAGGACACATTATTCATAAATTAAAACAAAATTAAAAGAGCAAACCAAAGCAATTTTGCAAAATGTTGTAAGGTGGAATTTTTGGCAGTCCTATGTTCAAGCAGGCCGCTCTAGCGGATGTTAAATCTTTGAAGAATGACGAAGAATAGAAGTAAAACAAATACTGCTTAGTGGATACTGATATTTCTAGCTAACGCAGAAATATGGTCGATTGATTATCGAAAAAAGCGACGACACGAAAGAGCACGTTGATTCGACAGGTGGAATAGGTGTTATGACTTGTTCTACAAAACGTAGTGTCGTTATCTACCTCCATTCGCAGTTTAGCTCCAGTTTGTTCCTCATTTCTTCCTGTCCTTTTTTCCTTTTCAATTATTCTCCACTTATTTCATGCTTGCAGTTTCCCTTCCTTCCCACCTGTTTCACATTGCCATATGGTATCACATAGATAACATTCGACTCCATATCACGGATGGCCTAAACAACTGATCAACTGCACACTCTGCTTAACAGAAATACAACAAAATCCACTTAAGTCACAAAACGTTTTTACGTGATTAAAACCCAGGTTCTGAATAACAAGAACGTATTGGGCGATTGATCAGTTCAACCTTGACTTTGGCGCCCTAGGTCATTAGCCCGATTGTAAGGCATGGTAAGTTTGGCGGTTTTCTAATGTTCAAACCATGCTTGTCTACTTTCAGGTTGGCTGCGAAGTATGCAGGGATTGGTTACCCAAGACGAGGCAACGGATGACCAATAGGAGTGCCTCTTCCCTCTTATCTAATTGTATTGCGATTGGTTGTAAATATAATACTTGACTTTGAGTCTTCGTTCTTACCTGCACGCAACACTTGTGTGATCACGCTGCTAACGTGCGCTTTGCTCTCTGTTTCAGATCATTGCGTAACGAAGGGGATTACAAGATGGATTGGGAATGTGTAGCTACCTCGTTGGACCGCTGGAATTCACGTAACACTCCAATAGATAAGGATCCCACTTCACCTTCCAGTGTTTGCAGAATAGAAATCACTCAATTTGGTGAATGTTATATTTGCAAACTGTGCAACGTGAGTTGTACCAGCAAGATAGCCTTCACTCAACATGAAATGGGAGCAAATCACGCAAGAAGGGTCGTCCTGAATGCGCTTTTCTGTCAGGAATGGAATGAAAACTCCAATACCACTGAGCAAAATGCATCTTACTGCAGTGAAACGTTTTACGAAAGTCAAACATCTGGACAGATCCGTATAGAGCAACAATCCACTGGGAACACAGATGAAACCTACTTCTGTGAACCGTGTGGTCTTAGCTGCAATTCTAAGAAACAACTTGACTGTCATTTACAGGGCAAAAAACACTTCAAACAACTCAGGCAGTCAATTCTAAATTGAGTTTACAGTTAAACCAGTGTAATGAATCTGTATTGACTTATTTTGTTCAATATCCAATATCATCTTTACGAGATATTGTAAACCAATTTGATTTCTTTGTTCTGGCTTCTCGGTTGTAAGGTATGGGTTCGTGATCTTCGGTAAACTTCTGCGTAGCTCATCCAGCCACTCGACTGTTGTAGCTTTGGTTGACGCCAAAGGGAGTAGTGCTGGGATTAATTATATGTGGTTTGTAATATGAGGTGTGTTAAGACTTTTACTACTGTAAATGGAGTTGATCCTTTCACCAATTAGTCCCCCGGTATCGTTGACAAGAGAAAAGAGATAATAATAATGTTAATAATAGACGTAATTAGTGAAGTTATTCGGACTAACAGACAGAAACGGAAATAGGAAAGCGTAACAACAGTTGGCTGATTAAATTTGAAGAATAATATGTATATATATCGGTAATAATAATAATGTTAATAATATTAATAAGTTGCTAGGAGAGTAAGACGGGAGAAAATGTAAAGAAGTTAAACGACGAGTTTAACTGTCTACCCCGGAATGGCGTATGCGATTTTACGGGAATAGGCCATTTGGATGCAGTCCTTGTGTCGCTATTACTCATCTTCGTAGTATACTTTCACTATGTATTTGGACTGATTTGTTTATCGCTCTAAATATTGCGTGTTACAATCGATACTTTTGTGCTCGTTCGTCTTTTGATTTACGTTGTGGATGTTGAGGAATCCTAACGTTAGGACAGATTAATAAACGCAAAGAATATACGTGTACTCAAGTTCGATCAAAAAGAGCACCATAACAAATTGGTGAGCCCGACAGCTGATCGTCGCCATCATTTCAAAGTACACATAGTGGATTTATTCATCATTGCTATCGAATTAACTTTGATGACTGCATCACATTTGGATTTATATATATATTCACTGACAATTTTTTTGAATTTTCGGTAAGCAGACCATTTTTGGACATTTTGAACGTTTTTTAACTTACCTATATTCTGTTCTGCTCGCGTTCGCTTTTTGTATTTTTGCTATCACCTATATATATTATTTTCTGCATTTTTGTAATGTCATTCAATACTGATAATGACACTTCAAGTGGAAGGTCTGTAACTGCCGTTACCACATCCATACCACCTTTTAAATCTAATGATCCTTATTAGTGGTCCACTCGCCTAGAGCACTACTTCCTAGCTAACCATGTCACTTCTCAAACTACAAATTTGGCTATGCAAGCTCCATCTTACGGGATGAAACAGCAAAGCAAGTACAGGAGACGCTCATAAATCAAGATCCGGAAACTCCGTACGATGTTTTAAAGCAGAAATTTATTAAGGTTGCTTCATTATCAGATCAGAAAGGTATTGATCAGTTTTTATTAATTTTTAAAAAATAAAAAAAATTATCAGATCAGAAAGGTATTGATCAGTTGCTGAGCAATGTTAGTCTGGGTGATAGAATACCTTCGCAACTCAAAAGCCGTATGTGTAACATTTTAGGAGATCGAAAGATAGACCAGGTGTTTCTACCAATTGTGGCTACGATGGTTACCCCACAACATTCAGCAAGTATTACCATTTGTAGATGAAGACATAGATATCGACAAGTTAGCAGGAATTGCTGACAGAATGTATGAACGGATGTCTCCACAAGTAACATCTGTAGTCGACAAATCGTCAGACGAACGTATAGAAGCCTTAGAGCGTAAAATAGATGTTCTAACCGAGCAATTAATGACGATGAGGGTTAATAGGCAACCTGGTACATCATACAGAAGATGACGTAGTCGCTCACGCAGTGTACCGGAATGTAGCTCACAACAGACTGTATGCTGGTGTCATCGAAAATTTGGCGTAAACGCTAAACGATGCACACAACCATGCGCTTTCCAGCAGCCAAAGGCTAGCGGTTGATGACGACTGCGGTTGCTGGCCGACAACCGTCCCGCAGTCGTCTCTTCAGGGTGACAGATAAAAAAGGGGGCACAATTCCTGGTAGATACCAGTGCAGAAGTTAGTGTAGTTCCCCCAACACCCATAGAACGTTTACAGCTGAATTCCGCATTAGTACTTAAGGCTGCGAACAATTCCACTATAAAAACTTTTGGAACTCGAAGACAAAAACTTAATTTTGGTTGCAGTACACCATTTGAGTGGGAGTTCGTCATTGCAGATATACCCTTTCCTATTATTGGGATGGACTTTCTTCAGCATTACGAATTGCTAGTCGACTCTAGTTGCCATAGATTGATAAATAGCAATCAAGAACTATCGATTTCAGGTATCTGCACCGATGTCGAGAGTATCCGTTTGATGGTAGCTACATCAGATCAATTATCCCCGTACGAGATACTGCTAAAGAAATTTCCTGAACTCACACAGAGCAATTACTCAACAGCCTCTCTCAGACACAGCATAACGCACCATATTGTAACTAAAGGTCCACCTGTCGCAGCAAAACCACATCCTTTAGATCCAGCAAAAATGCAAATAGCAAAAGCGGAGTTCAACAGATTGTTGGATCTAGGAATAATACGACCGTCAAACAGTCCATGGTCATCACCACTTCATATGGTTCCAAAGAAAAATTCAACAGAGATACGACCATGTGGAGATTACTGAGCTTTAAATGGGCAGACGATAGCCGATAGATACCCGATTCCTCACATTCACGATTTTTTTCATAACATGGCAGGCGCTCAAATACTTTCCAAAAGTGACCTCGTTCGTGCATACTGCCATATACCGGTCGAACCTAAGGACATCCCCAAAACTGCTGTAACCACTCCTTTTGGCTTATTTGAGTTCGTTCGTCTGCCATTTGGTTTAACTAACGCAGCACAAACATTTCAGCGATTCATCGACCAGGTCCTGCACGGCCTCACATTCGCTTACGCTTATATCGATGATATACTGGTTGCAAGTAAACCAACTTAAGAGCACCAACATCACTTAGAAACACTCTTTAAACGCTTGGCCGAATATGGAATTATCATTAAACCAAGTGAATGTGAATTCGGTAAGAAAACTATACAGTTTTGGGGGCATCAGGTAGACAGTCAAGGCATTCGACCGATAGCAGAACAACTTCAATTCATAAAAGAATACCCCATCCCAGATTCTTTCAAAAAGTTACGCAGATTCCTTGGTCTCGTCAATTGTTATCGCCGTTTCATTCCTCACTGCGCACAGCTGGCCCAACCACTGACATTTACTAAAAGGTCACGCAAAATCGCTGCACATGGATACTTCAGCAATCGAAGCATTTGAAAAGCTGAAACATGCTCTAAGGTCAGAAACTTTACTGGTACGTCTTGACACCAACGCTCCTATAGCTATTATGACAAATGCATCAGATGTCGACGTCAGCGCAGTTCATCAACAATTCTCTTCTGGGAAATGGCAACCTCTCTCCTTTTCCTCCAAACGTCTAGACGCTACTCAATCAAGATATAGTGCATTCAGTAGAGAATTACTAGCAGTCTATCTTGCTGTTAAACATTTTCGTCATATGGTCTAAGGAATACCGTTTACTATCTACACAGACCACAAACCTTTAACCAAAGCCATGAATGCAAAGCACGATAAGTACTCACCAAGAGAGCTCCGACACCTCGAGTTCATTTCTCAGTTCACTTCAGACATTAGATTCATCAAGGGACATAAAAACGAGGTAACAGATGCGTTATCCCGCATCCATATAAATACTTTAGAAAAAGATCAGTTTGACCTTAAAAAGATGGCTAAACTGCAAACTATGGACGAGGATCTGAAAAGACTAAAAAATAGCACGAGTACTTCTTTACGTTTGCAAGATGTTATGCTTGATGAAAGCCTAACTATTACGTGTGATGTTTCCAAAAGAAAACCGCGTCCTTTTGTCCCATTAGAAATGCGGAGATTAGTTTTCTCCAAAATACACGGCATTTCTCACCCTGGTATCCGAGCGACAGTTAGACTGATAAGTGACCGATATATATGGCCGAACATGAATCACGAGATTAAACAGTGGACCAGAGCATGCCTAGCTTGCCAAAAGTCAAACGTATTACGACATACAGTTTCACCTAATGGCCAGTTTCCAGAGCTTGATGGTAGATTCCAACACATACACATCGACATCGTTGGGTGTTACCGTCATCTAACGGTTTTACTTATATCTTAACGTGTATTGACAGATTTACGAGACGGCCAGTAGCTAGTGCCTTACCTGATATTTCGGCTGAAACTGTTGCAAAGAGCATCATACAAAATTGGATTTCCAACTTCGGAGCGTCCAGCATTATTACTACTGACAGAGGTGCTCAATTCGAAAGCCATTTATTGCAACAACTCACAGAACTACTGGGAATCAAGCGTATACGTACTACTGCTTATCATCCCAGTTCAAACGGCTTAGTGGAGAGATTTCATCGTCAACTGAAAGCAGCATTGATGGCAGTGAAGGATGATGATAAGTGGAGTGACAAATTACCACTTGTACTTCTTAAATAAATAAATTTATTCTCATGATACATTACATGAGGGACGCCAGTTTACAGGCATCATCAAAGTGTTACAGAAATAGGACCATGTTATTTAGTCACAATTTACAGTCGATAGCAAAATATGTTTAACATGTACACTGGAGATTATACATACACTTGATAAATGTTAATCCCAATAGTTTAAAACATCCTTTTCACTTATGTACAATCATTTCTGTGCATAGTTGGAAAAATCCGCTAGATTGTCAGTGAGTGCAACACATCAGGAAATACAGAAGTATTGTCTTCGCATTAACAAAAAAACCAGGTCTTTGGTGGATGGGTTATAAGTGCCTGGGAAAAAAATAAAGCTTGAAGTCAGTTTTCATACATAATTTTGTAGTGTACAGAATCCTTGATTTATAGTTCATTGATGTGTTATTTTGAAATCAGTGAAATGTTTATCTCATTTGATCTGCAATGTCATTGTTGGGAGTAAAATACATAAGCTTTAGACGCATTAATTAATGGATTTCTACTGCTTGTGGGTATTTACTTCTCGTGAGGAAGGTTTTTGAATTTTAGTTGTTCCGACAGGAGTTGTGGATATTGACTGCTCAGCAACATTATGGATATAAGTTCATCACATTATCTCAGGAATGTTGGGTTGTAGTTGGTGAGGCATATATGATGTCCGACGAGCGTACATCTGTCCATGTGATGTTGTGGTGAGTTATACCTTTTTCATGTTGTCGGTTTATGTCCATTTTATTCCACTTATTGTGTTGGGTAGAAGTTTTACAAACGAAACTTCTTGTCTGTTTGAGGGTAAGTATCTTAATCGTTAATGTTTTATCTAAAATTATAAATATAGGCAAAAACAGCAGGTGTAGTATTTAAGCTTATACATTAAATGGACCTATAATTTCGGAGGCTCTCAGATAGGAACTAGGACTACTGTCGTTTGCAAACTCGTGTAGTTTGTCGTTAAGCACTTTTTTGAGTGAGGCCAATGTACCTGCTTGACGCATTTCCATTGGTAGTTTATTCCATATCTGTGCATACCTAATCAAATAAAACTTTTGCCTGGTAGCTGTTTTACATTGTTCGATAGCTACTGTACCCTTAGTGTGTCTTAGTTTGTAGCCACTGTCATCTGAAAGTCGAATGCCATTAGTAGAGGTAAAAACTAAGTGGTTTAGAAGCTTATAGTAAAGTGTTAAGTTTAGTCTCAGGCGTCTTAGCCATAGTGTTTCTAATCCTAGGGTGTCACATCTAGTGGAGTAGTTCGCACCATTTTCCGTTCCGAGTAATTTTGACGTGAAGTACCTCTGCACTCCCTCGACTTTCAATTTGTCCTCTATGCGTATACTACTATACATGAATGAACAGTAATCAAATAAAGGACGCACACAAACCTTGTACAACAGAATTCTGGACTCATTTCTGTAAAAGTTCCTGAGTAGAAAGCCGATAAGTCTGCGTGACTTTGACACTTGTTTGGAGATATGTTCAGAAAATGATAAGTCATGTGAGTATTTCAGTCCTAGGTCCAATACAGATTCCAGTCGTAAAAGTGCATGGCCTTGAATTGTCAGGTCAAGTTCTAAATTGTTGCAACCTATGCAGAGCCAGCCACATTTGTCGACATTAAACTGGAGTTGCCAGGTGTCACACCATCTATCCATTTTTTCTAATTCTTGCTGTATGGCGTTTACTGTTATTCCGAGATCTGTGTTCTTGCATTTATAGGTCACTTTTAAGTCATCTGCATATAGTATTGGTTTACCAACACTAAAGCATTCACAGATACTGTTTATATATATTATGAATAGGAGTGGGCCTAATACACTTCCCTGGATTACACCACTACTTACAGGTTTAGGCCTTGAGATTATCGAGCCAACTTTTGTTATCTGATTCCTGTCACGGAGAAATGATTTTATCCAGCTCAGGAGAGGGTCACATATCCCTAGTGAGCATAACCTGCTGACTAGCAGATTATGGGGGACTCTATCGAAGGCTTTTGTTATATCGAAGTATAGCACAATTACTAGTTCTCTGTTGTCCCTGCTTCGTGTAACTTCATTGAAAAAGTCTATGTGACAGGTCGCACATGATCTCTTTTTGAGGAATCCGTGTTGTGATGGGTTGATAAGTTCATGTTCTAGTAAGTTGTCTGACACTTGGTCTTTAACCACTTTCTCCATTATTCGTGATATTACCGGTGTTATATTAATAGGTCTATAGTTGCATGCACTGGTTTTGGCCCCTGCTTTGTGCTTAGGTAATATGTATGTGGTTTTCCACACTTCAGGATAAGTTCCAGTTTCCAGTGACAGAGTAAATATTCTAAGTAACAAGACTACCATTTCCGTGCTACCATTTTTGTATATGACAGATGGTATGTCGTCTGTTCCAGTACTGCCATTTGACTTCAATGTCTTAATCGCTGAGTCTATATTTTGCATATTAAAATCTATTTCTCCTAATTTGTGGTTACTTTTGCAGGTCATTTGGAAATTTGGGGTCGAGTGCACTCTGGTGTCATTGCAAAACCACTCACTGAGGAGTTCACTTATAACCTGGGGATCGTTGTGTATTACACCCCTATGTTCCAAGATGCTTACATTATTGTCTTTACTGCTTTTTAGACGTTTTTGCAATATCCTACAAAGTTCCTGAGTTTTGGTGTTACCCATTAGCGCTTTATTTTCCTCATGTTGTGACTTCATTTTGTGTTTCTCTTCAAGCAGTTTAAGAGTTTCATGTATTTGGTTTAACGCATTAAATTCCTTAAATACATGGTATTTCCTTTTCAATTTCTTTAGTTTTAGTCGCGTTTTCCGGTCAATAAATGGAGTTGGTGTCTTTAGGGCAGATTTTAGGGGCGCGATTGTGTCTCTTGCTGAGCCAACTGTTTTGTAGAAAATCTCAAGTGATGCTTCTAAGTTATTGTTGATGAAGTATTCTTCCCAGTCAGAACTTCTCAACAGATCTGATAGGAATTCCCAATCTGCATTCTTATAGTCCCTATATTGATAGCGCACCGGGGAATTTTTAGGTGTGTATTTAGTTGTTAGTCGGAGGGGTAGCGTGCAGTACAATATGTTGTGATCACTGTTATCGAGTTTATTTCCCACCTCTATCGAGATGGGCTCTATGTTATGACAGAGGATTAAGTCAAGAGTATTTTGGTTCCTTGTAGGGAGGCGCACGCACTGCTTCCATCCTCCTATGTCTATAGCTTGTAGTAGCTCTTCATGGATTCTTGGTCCTGTACAGGTATCCCAGTTTACTCCAGGTAAGTTGAAATCTCCACATACTACTTTGAAGTCGAAGTCCAGCGTAGCTACATGCTCTAGTATTTCTGCAATAGTTATATCAGTCATTTCAGGGCTATTGGGGGGTCTGTATATACATCCCACGAGAATTTTACTTTCGTTTGTGTGGATGCTTATCCACTTAGATTCTGGGAGTTTGTCAGTATTTGGGTTATTGAAAGTATTGGAGTTAGTGGATTTATAGGCATATATTAAGCAACCACCTCCTCTTTTGTCAACTCTATCGTTCCTATAGATGTCGTAGTTGTCTATTACCAGCTTTGTGTCAGGTATATCAGTAGTAAGCCAGGTTTCAGTCACCATTATTAGTGTTGGCCGTTCTATGTATGCCAGGCAGCGAAGCGTTGTTATTTTATTAAGGAGAGATCTAGCATTCAGGAGCATAATTGTTAGTAAACCAGAGTTATTGGAGGAGAGGTTAACATGGTTACTTGTCACTATCCCTACGTTATGTTTGGAGGGGCTCTGAGGTGAGACAGAGTCAGTGTGTGTACTATTTCCTGGATGAACTGTGCAGCAAGTGGGGCTATTGTTTGCTGCAGCCGAAAATAATCCTGTTGCATATTTTGACTATTAGCATCCATGGGTCGGCATCTGCGTATTCCTTCTCACATGCTGCGTGACGTCTTTGGGAATGTGCTTCGTTACCCATGCTTTGTCATTTTTTAGACTGGCCCGCTGCTTATTAGACTTATTACGAGGGAGGTATGTCGAAGTCTGGGGTGGGACTCTGGGTTTTGTGGTCTTTTTTGCGGTTTCTACTGAGGGACTCTCTGGCTTGGATCCAGATTGAGAGTGGTCTGCCAGTAGTTTCTGGTCAGCCATAGTTTGTGCGTCTATGTCAACCTTATGTAGGTCAGCAGGTTTTCGAGATGTGCTCTCGTGCACTCTAAGACTGCACCCAGTGGCACTGCTCTTACTGAGTTTTGGGTCGCTCTTACTTTCCATTTTTTCTCCTAACACTATACACGTGACTTGCTGTGCTTCAGTGTCCGTCGACACTTTAGCACTGATACCAGATGTATTTCTCAGTGTTGTCAACTTTGTATCGAAGTAGTTCTTGGTTGCTTGCCTTTGGTTTGGTGTTTTATCCGAGACTACTTTAATAGTCTTGAATTTTGTGGCAGTAGCCAGAAGATCTTCGGCCATCTTAAATCGTTCAGCTGTTATGTAGCTGTCGAACCTAAAGAGTATAGGACAAGGATTCTTTAGGTCTTTTTTGCTTAGGCGAATGCACTGACAAGGTGCATTCAAGAGATTTGCAGCCTTCAGCAATGAGTGCTGGACTGACTTTATGGGCTCGCTATCCGGTACATTATACACTATTGCGTTTTGTTTTGAAGCCAGCCTTTTAA